TCTGTGGATCTGTGGATCCATTCTGCGGATCTGTGGCTGGCTAAAAGAGCTCTATTGAAACACCACGGCAAAGGGAATAAAGTTCTCAATGAATGGTTTTCTTACTCCTTGTAGGATCACTTCCTTTGTGATCTCTAGGCTTCTGTTGGCTGTTCAGAGATTCCTTTGAATTTGACTCTTCTGCTCAGTTGACTCTGTCGAAGCTGCTGAAATTGTCACGTCCAAATGCCAGAGTCAATTAATTCTGACTTGGGAGTGGCAACTCTGTCCAGGGAGTCCATGGTTTCTGCACTGTCAGTTCCTGTGCAAGGCACATCAGACAAAGGACAGGGAGGGATTTTTAAATTCTAGAATTGTGGTTTAGTGCAAGAAAAAGGAGGGAGGGCGAGGGAGAGAAGCAGAGTGGATGGGCAGTTTCCACGATCGGAGATCAATCTGGGCAGAAGTTCCATCAAGGCAACAACCTGGCTAAAAGGGGAGGCATCTCCCTTAAATTCAAGGGTTCTGTCCTTCCCTGCTAAAACAAAACGCCTGCGAGCTGGCCAGAGCACAGCTCCTCCAGTTGCTCTTCTGCTTCCAATGGGATAATTTTTAGCTTCTTGTCAAGAGAAAGAACACCAATTTGTTTGCTGGGAAGGCTGGAAGAGATGAGTTTTGGCCAAAGTCTGGGTGACTTTTGGAAGCAGGAGGCAGCTGCTTCTCTAAAGTCTCTGGCATTGTCTCCAGCGTGACATGAAGCTGTGCATGAGGTCCAGCTGCCTGGTCTTGGAAATGCCATCTCAGGGTATGCAAGGGTCTGATTTGAATGTGGGTCACCCAAAGCTTTGTCCAAGGGCCTTTGCTGAATTCTCTCTTGCTCCTGTCCCACTGGCAAGGGACACCTTTCCCCAAAAGGATGGCTGCCAAAGTGCCAGGGAAAGAGCAGCCCTGTGCCTCGAGGGCTCTGATGGATTTGAGGTCCTGCTAGGGTCTTCCCAGGGCAGTCATGGAATAGTCCCTTAAGTCTCCTGTAAATGGGAGTGATGATGCTTTCCCTCCTCACAATCTGCACGTGACACACGCTCTGGAACTCATTAGGATTTGAGGCAACTAATGCTTGCCAGAGTGGCAAAGGTGAATATCGGATGTGCAAACATTGCATGCAGGAGTGCAGCTGAGAGCAGCGTTTACTTTTAGGAGCTAAGTGGCCACCTTGTCCCCTTGGCTGCAGAGGTTGCTCTGTGATGGGAGGGGAAAGCAAAACACAGGTGAACACTGTCCCAAATGTCAAGTTCTTTCTCCTTGCACAGCGTCCCCACTGAAGTCAGCCTCCACGGGCTCTTCAGCTGCATCAGCTCTGAGTGCCCAGAGTCTGCTTTGGCTGTGAAGGGAAGGGGCAGCAGCAAATCCTACTGCCAAGAGAGCAGCCTGTTCTCTGTAGCCAGGGTGCCCACTTGTGTGGCACCGGCTCCCTGGGGAGCGTATAGGGTGTCTGATGCATTCAAGGTATAGAAGTTTAGCAGGAAAGAAAGCCCCTGGAGTTCCAGCTGGTCCTCAGACATGAGTAGGGCTGGGTGCAACTGGGCTTGATTTCTGATTCAAAGCAACTCAGCACTATAGGTCTGGTCGAGTACAGTAAGAACACCAGTCCAGATTTTGAAAGAGTGAGTTTTATTGAAACAATATGTTTGATGGAAATAACAGGACATCAGGTTGAAGATTCCTGGGGGGAAAATCCCCTAACTACCCATTAATGACTTCTCTATTTTCTGGGGATAAATATCATCATCATCATGGCTGGGCTTCACGAACGAAGATTTGGGAAGGACTCTACCCATGTTTGTTGCAAGCGCATTGGTGGCTGAGGAGGCTAATAAGTGATAGGCATGGTGGTTGCAAAAGGCACAGCAGAAAGACTCCTTAGATGGTATAATCTGCAAGGCACGATTCTTTCTGTGTTGCCTTTTCTCCTCAAGGGTGATCCTGCGTGCTTTCTCAAAAGCATCAGCAGCGCTATAGATGGTGTGTCTCCAGGTCTCCCGACTGGAGGCCAGAGTAGACCACTTATGATGATCAATGTGGCCAAGGCTGAGATGTTGTTTCAGGGAGTCCTTGTATCTTTTCTTCGGGGCTCCTCTCTTGCGGCAGCCGGAGGCAAGTTCACCGTAAAGCAGGATCTTAGGGAGGCGGTGGTCCCTCATCCTGGAGACGTGCTCTGCCCAAAGCAGCTGAGTTCTCAGCAACATGGCCTCAATGCTGGTGACTGCTACTTATTCTAGAACAGATGTATTGGTCACAGAATCTGACCAGTGGATGTTTAGGATTGTACGGAGGCAGCGTTGATGGAAGCGTTCTAGGTGTCACAGGTGGTGGCGGTAGATGACCCATGATTCAGATCCTTTTAAGAGAGCAGACAACACTATGGCTCTGTAAACACTGATCTTTGTACTTTTCTTCAGGTGTTTGTTTCGCCAGACTCTTTTATGAAGCTTTCTGAAAGCACTCTATGCCTTTGCTAACCTGTTGTCTATCTCCCCTCCAATCTTACCATCCGAGGAGATGAGGTTACCTAGGTAATTAAACTGCTGGAGGAGATAAATATCCTAACTACATAATGCCTACTTAAAGATTTGGTGGGAACAAGTGCCCCATCTATGTATTAATTGCTTATCTATTTTCTGGGGAAAAATATACTAACTTCATAATAGCTACTTCTAGATTTGGTGGGAACAAGTGCCCCAACTATGTATTAATTAGTTATGTTTTTTCTGGGGAAAAATATACTAATTGCATAATAGCTACTTCTAGATTTGCTGGGAACAAGTGCCCCAACTGTGTATTAAATATTTATCTATTTTCTGGGGAAAAATATACTAGTAGCATAATAACTCCTTATAGATTTGCTGGGAACAAGTGCCTGAACTACGTATTAATTACTTCTCTGTTTTCTGGGGAAAAATAGACTAACTACAATGAATTACTTAGATATTAGCTACTGCTAATCCGAGCTCTTCATTTATGCGATGGGAGCCCCCGGAGCAGAGCTGGCTTCTCCGTCAATGGCCGTGAACAGTTGTTTGAGCCGATAGCGGAGGAAAGAGAAGTCTTGCCGGGCCTCTCTGTGGGCGTCTGGATCCTGTGCCAGGTGCCAGAAAAGGTTGGGTGGCTGAAGCGTTTGGAAGTGCGGAGGCAAGTCGATCTGCGGTGGGATGCTCTGGTTGCCTATGACGAAGCAGTCCAGGCGTTTCTTCTGCAGGGAGCAGCGCAGGTAATCCAAGCTCTCCAGCAGCCGCTGGCGGCAATGCCTCCTGCCCCACTGTGCCATGGGGATGGTGTTGAGGAGGTGCATCATGATGGTCTTGAGGGTATAATTGGAAAAGGCTCTGCCCCCCCCGGCACGGGCCAAGAGCTGCAGGCATCTGAGGTGGCAGCTGTCAGGTGGAGCCTGCCGGGCAATGTGGCTGAAGAACTTCATCTCTGCCACGCCGTAGGTCTCCGGCCACACTGTGCTTGGGGTGAAGAGGGCCTCTCTAGACTGGCTGCTCACATAGATGTCTGAGTTTCCTTGCTGCACCCCAAACAGCACCTCAACGCAGAAGCTTTCTCTGTTGTTGGTCAGCCGGAGTGTACAGGAGCGTCTGGAGGGCAGCACCCTTAAACGCCAGTGTTTGGACTGAGGCAAACGCGACCAACTTGCTCTCGCCATCAGACGGAACCATAGGGTAGTTTTCTCCACATCGAGGTAGGAACGAGTACAGAGGTTGTAGAGGAGGATGGAGTTCTTATTCCTCCTCAGCTTTTCCTCCGGGATGTGGACCTGCTCCACACGGACGCAGAAGTCCTTTCCTGGCATGCCTGCGGCAGTGTTCGGCTCCAGGTGGAAGGTGTGCCCCGGGGGAGGACTGAGGGGTACGAGGACACGGTACACGACATCCTCCTTGCGGGGACTCCAACCTTCAAAGGCACTGCCCATGCCGATGGCTTGCTGTGGCACTGGGTAGAAACGATTTGACAAGTGGTGTCCAAAGGCACGTGTCAAATCATCTATCAGGTCAGTTATCACGCAACCTCTGTCCAGAACAGGCCAGCGTATGGACTCCTCTATAAACCTGCCAAGCTTACTGTCACGATCTTGCTCTTGGTCTCCATTTGCACCGTATTTCCTTTCTTCTCTTCCAGCAGCATTGTTTTCTTCCACATTTGCACGGCCGTTAACTTGATCTTCCTGCGCCTCCAAGTTGCTGCTGGCATTCTCCTGCGGTGCACTGCCGTGTGGCTCACGGCTCCTTTTCCTGAGGCTAAAGGCCAGTGCCAAGAGAAGGCCCAGGACTCCAAGAAGAGCCCAGAAGTGCCACTGCTCCAAGGTAGCCCAGAGCAGGGCTCCCCAGGCCCTGACACCGGGCTCCAGGCTGCTCTGCTCCAGCTCCTGCAGCAGCCGAGTCATTTCCTGGTTGAGATACTTCTCCCGCATCTCCATGCGCAAACGGGTGGCCTCATCCAGCCCATCACCCACCACGTGTGGGTACTGGATGAGGGTTTGCACGAGAAGGACAAGGACTATTAAGGCCTCCATGGCCTGCAGGATTAGGGAGACAAGGGGTTAAGTGGGACTGGAAGGGGAGGGGTTGTTTAGGGGGTGGGGTGGGGGGAGGAATGGGCAGGGTGGGAGGGTGGATGGGAGCTGCAGGAAAGCTGGGGCAGGAAGGAGAGGGCCCAGGCAGTTGGCAAGTAGCAAGGCCCGTCCCACTGCCCCTGCAGCAGCACCGTTCCACACCCAAGATACTCCTGTGAAAGGTCGCTCCTGAATTCCAAGTGAGAACCACTCGCTCAGGTGCAGCTTCCCGCCTGTGCGCACTCGTCGCTCGCCCAGGCTGGACTGGGGCAGCGTTACCTGCCGGGGCCGCTTGCAGCTGCCCCCATTGTGACATGAGCCCTGTGATGTCACAGGGACCAGAGCACATCACAGCCAGGCCAGCCCCGCCCCTTGTCCCCACCCCGGCTCAGGGACTCAAAATGGCCCCCGCACAACCAAAGGCCCGACACCCCCAAAATGCAGGCCCACCTCTCTGCAATGGGTCTCAGCGACCCCCTTTCCAAAGCAGGCAGAAGCCCCCAAAGCCTTGTCAAACATGAAATTGGGTGGTGTGACTCATGGATGCTTTGCTCCCTGAGATCCCCTCCTGTGAGTTGGGATGGCTTCCTTTGGTGCTGAGCTCTGTTCTTGTGGGGGCCTCTTTGATACAAGGCCGCACGTTTGGTACGAGTGCTGTTTGCACCAGCAAAGCCCCTGGTGCTGTATTCCAGGGATATTGGAGGGGTAAACAGTAATAATAATCATCCCAATAAATCTCCAATCAACCTACTTAGGAGAACCACTGGTCTGTGGGTGGTCACTGCGGGTAGGGCCCCCTGTGACAACATCCCCCCCATCCCGCCCCATCCCAGCCTGTGCTGGTGGCTGTCGCGCTACCTGCATTTGGAACCCAAGTGCCAAGTGTGGGCCAAAAATGGCAGAGTGCAGCATCAAAAAGAGGATGTGATTTGGCCCTGCAGATGTATTTCAGACAACTCATCTCTAGCCTAAGCATCTGTTGGATCCTTTTAGAGCTGTGATTGTTTACTGGTGACCGGCTGACACTGACACTGCAGGGATTTGAGAAGAAGAGTTTTTCTGTGGATCTGTGGATCCATTCTGCGGATCTGTGGCTGGCTAAAAGAGCTCTATTGAAACACCACGGCAAAGGGAATAAAGTTCTCAATGAATGGTTTTCTTACTCCTTGTAGGATCACTTCCTTTGTGATCTCTAGGCTTCTGTTGGCTGTTCAGAGATTCCTTTGAATTTGACTCTTCTGCTCAGTTGACTCTGTCGAAGCTGCTGAAATTGTCACGTCCAAATGCCAGAGTCAATTAATTCTGACTTGGGAGTGGCAACTCTGTCCAGGGAGTCCATGGTTTCTGCACTGTCAGTTCCTGTGCAAGGCACATCAGACAAAGGACAGGGAGGGATTTTTAAATTCTAGAATTGTGGTTTAGTGCAAGAAAAAGGAGGGAGGGCGAGGGAGAGAAGCAGAGTGGATGGGCAGTTTCCACGATCGGAGATCAATCTGGGCAGAAGTTCCATCAAGGCAACAACCTGGCTAAAAGGGGAGGCATCTCCCTTAAATTCAAGGGTTCTGTCCTTCCCTGCTAAAACAAAACGCCTGCGAGCTGGCCAGAGCACAGCTCCTCCAGTTGCTCTTCTGCTTCCAATGGGATAATTTTTAGCTTCTTGTCAAGAGAAAGAACACCAATTTGTTTGCTGGGAAGGCTGGAAGAGATGAGTTTTGGCCAAAGTCTGGGTGACTTTTGGAAGCAGGAGGCAGCTGCTTCTCTAAAGTCTCTGGCATTGTCTCCAGCGTGACATGAAGCTGCGCATGAGGTCCAGCTGCCTGGTCTTGGAAATGCCATCTCAGGGTATGCAAGGGTCTGATTTGAATGTGGGTCACCCAAAGCTTTGTCCAAGGGCCTTTGCTGAATTCTCTCTTGCTCCTGTCCCACTGGCAAGGGACACCTTTCCCCAAAAGGATGGCTGCCAAAGTGCCAGGGAAAGAGCAGCCCTGTGCCTCGAGGGCTCTGATGGATTTGAGGTCCTGCTAGGGTCTTCCCGGGGCAGTCATGGAATAGTCCCTTAAGTCCCCTGTAAATGGGAGTGATGATGCTTTCCCTCCTCACAATCTGCACGTGACACACGCTCTGGAACTCTTTAGGATTTGAGGCAACTAATGCTTGCCAGAGTGGCAAAGGTGAATATCGGATGTGCAAACATTGCATGCAGGAGTGCAGCTGAGAGCAGCGTTTACTTTTAGGAGCTAAGTGGCCACCTTGTCCCCTTGGCTGCAGAGGTTGCTCTGTGATGGGAGGGGAAAGCAAAACACAGGTGAACACTGTCCCAAATGTCAAGTTCTTTCTCCTTGCACAGCGTCCCCACTGAAGTCAGCCTCCACGGGCTCTTCAGCTGCATCAGCTCTGAGTGCCCAGAGTCTGCTTTGGCTGTGAAGGGAAGGGGCAGCAGCAAATCCTACTGCCAAGAGAGCAGCCTGTTCTCTGTAGCCAGGGTGCCCACTTGTGTGGCACCGGCTCCCTGGGGAGCGTATAGGGTGTCTGATGCATTCAAGGTATAGAAGTTTAGCAGGAAAGAAAGCCCCTGGAGTTCCAGCTGGTCCTCAGACATGAGTAGGGCTGGGTGCAACTGGGCTTGATTTCTGATTCAAAGCAACTCAGCACTATAGGTCTGGTCGAGTACAGTAAGAACACCAGTCCAGATTTTGAAAGAGTGAGTTTTATTGAAACAATATGTTTGATGGAAATAACAGGACATCAGGTTGAAGATTCCTGGGGGGAAAATCCCCTAACTACCCATTAATGACTTCTCTATTTTCTGGGGATAAATATCATCATCATCATGGCTGGGCTTCACGAACGAAGATTTGGGAAGGACTCTACCCATGTTTGTTGCAAGCGCATTGGTGGCTGAGGAGGCTAATAAGTGATAGGCATGGTGGTTGCAAAAGGCACAGCAGAAAGACTCTTTAGATGGTATAATCTGCAAGGCACGATTCTTTCTGTGTTGCCTTTTCTCCTCAAGGGTGATCCTGCGTGCTTTCTCAAAAGCATCAGCAGCGCTATAGATGGTGTGTCTCCAGGTCTCCCGATTGGAGGCCAGAGTAGACCACTTATGATGATCAATGTGGCCAAGGCTGAGATGTTGTTTCAGGGAGTCCTTGTATCTTTTCTTCGGGGCTCCTCTCTTGCGGCAGCCGGAGGCAAGTTCACCGTAAAGCAGGATCTTAGGGAGGCGGTGGTCCCTCATCCTGGAGACGTGCTCTGCCCAAAGCAGCTGAGTTCTCAGCAACATGGCCTCAATGCTGGTGACTGCTACTTATTCTAGAACAGATGTATTGGTCACAGAATCTGACCAGTGGATGTTTAGGATTGTATGGAGGCAGCGTTGATGGAAGCGTTCTAGGTGTCACAGGTGGTGGCAGTAGATGACCCATGATTCAGATCCTTTTAAGAGAGCAGACAACACTATGGCTCTGTAAACACTGATCTTTGTACTTTTCTTCAGGTGTTTGTTTCGCCAGACTCTTTTATGAAGCTTTCTGAAAGCACTCTATGCCTTTGCTAACCTGTTGTCTATCTCCCCTCCAATCTTACCATCCGAGGAGATGAGGTTACCTAGGTAATTAAACTGCTGGAGGAGATAAATATCCTAACTACATAATGCCTACTTAAAGATTTGGTGGGAACAAGTGCCCCATCTATGTATTAATTGCTTATCTATTTTCTGGGGAAAAATATACTAACTTCATAATAGCTACTTATATATTTGGTGGGAACAAGTGCCCCAACTATGTATTAATTAGTTATGTTTTTTCTGGGGAAAAATATACTAATTGCATAATAGCTACTTCTATATTTGCTGGGAACAAGTGCCCCAACTGTGTATTAAATATTTATCTATTTTCTGGGGAAAAATATACTAGTAGCATAATAACTCCTTATAGATTTGCTGGGAACAAGTGCCTCAACTACGTATTAATTACTTCTCTGTTTTCTGGGGAAAAATAGACTAACTACAATGAATTACTTAGATATTAGCTACTGCTAATCCGAGCTCTTCATTTATGCGATGGGAGCCCCCGGAGCAGAGCTGGCTTCTCCGTCAATGGCCGTGAACAGTTGTTTGAGCCGATAGCGGAGGAAAGAGAAGTCTTGCCGGGCCTCTCTGTGGGCGTCTGGATCCTGTGCCAGGTGCCAGAAAAGGTTGGGTGGCTGAAGCGTTTGGAAGTGCCGAGGCAAGTCGATCTGCGGTGGGATGCTCTGGTTGCCTATGACGAAGCAGTCCAGGCGTTTCTTCTGCAGGGAGCAGCGCAGGTAATCCAAGCTCTCCAGCAGCCGCTGGCGGCAATGCCTCCTGCCCCACTGTGCCATGGGGATGGTGTTGAGGAGGTGCATCATGATGGTCTTGAGGGTATAATTGGAAAAGGCTCTGCCCCCCCCGGCACGGGCCAAGAGCTGCAGGCATCTGAGGTGGCAGCTGTCAGGTGGAGCCTGCCGGGCAATGTGGCTGAAGAACTTCATCTCTGCCACGCCGTAGGTCTCCGGCCACACTGTGCTTGGGGTGAAGAGGGCCTCTCTAGACTGGCTGCTCACATAGATGTCTGAGTTTCCTTGCTGCACCCCAAACAGCACCTCAACGCAGAAGCTTTCTCTGTTGTTGGTCAGCCGGAGTGTACAGGAGCGTCTGGAGGGCAGCACCCTTAAACGCCAGTGTTTGGACTGAGGCAAACGCGACCAACTTGCTCTCGCCATCAGACGGAACCATAGGGTAGTTTTCTCCACATCGAGGTAGGAACGAGTACAGAGGTTGTAGAGGAGGATGGAGTTCTTATTCCTCCTCAGCTTTTCCTCCGGGATGTGGACCTGCTCCACACGGACGCAGAAGTCCTTTCCTGGCATGCCTGCGGCAGTGTTCGGCTCCAGGTGGAAGGTGTGCCCCGGGGGAGGACTGAGGGGTACGAGGACGTGGTACACAACATCCTCTTTGCGGGGACTCCAACCTTCAAAGGCACTGCCCATGCCGATGGCTTGCTGTGGCACTGGGTAGAAACGATTTGACAAGTGGTGTCCAAAGGCACGTGTCAAATCATCTATCAGGTCAGTTATCACGCAACCTCTGTCCAGAACAGGCCAGCGTATGGACTCCTCTATAAACCTGCCAAGCTTACTGTCACGATCTTGCTCTTGGTCTCCATTTGCACCGTATTTCCTTTCTTCTCTTCCAGCAGCATTGTTTTCTTCCACATTTGCACGGCCGTTAACTTGATCTTCCTGCGCCTCCAAGTTGCTGCTGGCATTCTCCTGCGGTGCACTGCCGTGTGGCTCACGGCTCCTTTTCCTGCGGCTAAAGGCCAGTGCCAAGAGAAGGCCCAGGACTCCAAGAAGAGCCCAGAAGTGCCACTGCTCCAAGGTAGCCCAGAGCAGGGCTCCCCAGGCCCTGACACCGGGCTCCAGGCTGCTCTGCTCCAGCTCCTGCAGCAGCCGAGTCATTTCCTGGTTGAGATACTTCTCCCGCATCTCCATGCGCAAACGGGTGGCCTCATCCAGCCCATCACCCACCACGTGTGGGTACTGGATGAGGGTTTGCACGAGAAGGACAAGGACTATTAAGGCCTCCATGGCCTGCAGGATTAGGGAGACAAGGGGTTAAGTGGGACTGGAAGGGGAGGGGTTGTTTAGGGGGTGGGGTGGGGGAGGAATGGGCAGGGTGGGAGGGTGGATGGGAGCTGCAGGAAAGCTGGGGCAGGAAGGAGAGGGCCCAGGCAGTTGGCAAGTAGCAAGGCCCGTCCCACTGCCCCTGCAGCAGCACCGTTCCACACCCAAGATACTCCTGTGAAAGGTCGCTCCTGAATTCCAAGTGAGAACCACTCGCTCAGGTGCAGCTTCCCGCCTGTGCGCACTCGTCGCTCGCCCAGGCTGGACTGGGGCAGCGTTACCTGCCGGGGCCGCTTGCAGCTGCCCCCATTGTGACATGAGCCCTGTGATGTCACAGGGACCAGAGCACATCACAGCCAGGCCAGCCCCGCCCCTTGTCCCCACCCCGGCTCAGGGACTCAAAATGGCCCCCGCACAACCAAAGGCCCCACACCCCCAAAATGCAGGCCCACCTCTCTGCAATGGGTCTCGGCGACCCCCTTGCCAAAGCAGGCAGAAGCCCCCAAAGCCTTGTCA